AACCAAAACATGCCAAATTATCAAAACAGAAAAATTATGATATTATGGTGCTTTTATAGAATGCTCAATACTTATATTACACACATATTCCCATAATATTGTAAAGGCAAAAAATACATGTTTATATCATTTATTTCTTGGAAAGATTTTTTTGTGTATCCCATATTTATTCATGCTTGGATGAATCTCTTCAAACAGATACTTTATTAAAATTACAGGTGAGTGAAACCATAAATTTCAACATGGCTTCATTCTTAACAGTCTATGAAGCAGTAGATTGGAAGCATAAAATAAAGTGTGCAGAACCATGTCATGTTCTGCTGGGAGACATATTTTACTCTTCAGCAGCATAATAAAAACACATGTTTTAGAAATTGAGGCAAGACATACAGTACCTCCTTCCCATGAGATGTATTTCTCTGCCTAGAGCAGAATTTTCCTCTTAGCAGTGTGTTTCAAAACTGGCAAGTTCAACAGTTTAATCTCTTTAGCATTTGCATTACATTTTCCAATTTAGACAAAAAAAAAAAAATATTTCTGTCATACTGATGAAGTGTTGGGTTTAAAATTTTTCAAATAAATTTAATGTAAATGAATAAGATTAGTGTATTTTCTGATTCCCAAAAATGGGCTGTTTAAGCTGGTCAGAGAGCATGTTTTCATTATGTAATTTTAATAGTATATTCACATTGCATTATCTCTCTATTTCCTAGTCAGATATTCATAATAAATTGCAAAGATAAATTCAGGAAATGTTGAAAAGCAATCTTGTTTGAAGGAGAGATGTCATAGCACATGTACGTGCTGTAGTTTATATTGCATAATCCTTCCCACTCCACTGCATAGTTAGCAGAATGCTACTAGAAGAATAACTCTTCTCGACTGAATATGAAGCACAAAGAACGTGCCTTTCACAAGGATCCTCTTGAAGATGTTTATCATTAAAATATGAAATTTCTAATTAAAAACTCCTTTGATTATGTAGACAGTACAATCTCTACTCGCTAGCATGCTAATGCACTTAGAATACAAGTAATATCTCAGTAGTTATGGACAACTTATTTGCAGTTCTGTAGTGCTGATAACAGATGAAGGTACACATTCTATCAAGTTCATACTTCCCAGACTAAGAATTCATGGATTTCATTAGGGAAAAGCAGCATTAGATAAAAAACATCCACACTAATCATGTGAAGGATACTGCTGGAATAAGGGAGTATGAGGAACAACTGATTATCAATCATACTACTGATTATCTAGGAACTAGGAAAGGGGAGGCAAACTATGGGTATGGCATCCTCACAGGTTGTGTAAACAGTTCTTCATGAGACACTGTGCAGTTTGCTTTGAAATTAGAAAGATGAAGGGGAATCCAAAGAGAAAGTTACAGGCAGTTCTGCAGTACCAAGTGATGCCTTTTTGGTATTGGGTACCATCTTATAGCTATTGCAGAGAAGAACATGTGAGCTCTTTTATTATATTAAAATCTGAAAGTATTACAGGTACAGGTTTTGAGAACTCCAAGTGTATGAAGTTGACTCACACTTAAACTCAGAATATTCGCAATTAGGGGCAAAAAAAACCCCAATCAAACCACAGGAGCAAAAGACCCCAAACCAACCAACCAACCAACTGACCGATCACCAGAAGTAAAAGAACAGGAAAAAAAGAGTCATGGGGATGCAAACAGCAATGGAGATGTCAAACATAAAGATGGCAGATGCTTTTGGAGACAGCATTTGTTAAAATTCTGAAATGTTGTATTTTCAGTCTATTTTTATTTCTCCAAAGGAAGGTAGCAATGAAGGCAAATATTTTAGTTCATAGAACTGTCAGTGGTGTTTCTATAGCTTTTTTGGCTTTATATAATTGTTCTCTCTATATGACATAACAATAGTCTACAGTAACCCAGCTCTAGAGAATTTTATTTTGTTGCCATTTTTGGGACTTGTCTGACATCAGCCAAGGCTTTTCACAGTGGTGGCTCAGCATAGCAGATGCAGAACAGCCCAACCACCACTGCTGTTAGTCTGCCTATTGAGGATTCACAGTCCCTCATCTATCCTCAACTACAAGACATGACAACAAAGTACAGAAAAGAAGAGCATTCCTCTAGTGAATGCTGAACTCCTTCCAGAATGGCAAAAGGGCTGCTTTCTTGCAGCTCATCTCAGATCCATGTTTACATGTTTGTTCTTATGTCATGTTTTCATGCCCATGGTGCTCAGATAGAACTTTGTATATCAAAATTTAGTTTGATCTGTGAATTATTCAGGAACATAACCCAAAAGGCATTAACAATTTAAATCTGCCAATAACTGATTTTCATTTTTTTTTTCCCTGTAAAAGTAAAACATGGGAAGATTGTATAATGGATCTGTTGCTGTATAATAGTTAATGAGTTTTCTGAAGTAAATAATTGACATGCATATGAGATAAAAAAGATTTTGATCACCAGTTGAACTAAAGATGATGAGTAAGATACAACTACTAGAAAGGAAAACAGACTCCAGAATATAAACAAGTACCAAGAGCTATGCCAAGAAACTTTCAGTCATTCAATTACATTTTATTTCATTAAAAAATTAAAAAATAGGAAAGGCATATGCAGTGAGTGAATTATATTTTTCCTATTTTTCAAAATAACTTCTGATGAAATAATACTGAGGTTTAGATTAAGCTAAAGATATAAGTCCCGTGTCCTCACTTTTGCCATTTTTGTCAAATCAGAGTTGCTGGAAAGTTAGGCATTTAACTACCTAGGTTATCTTCTGGATCAGAAACTCATCTTCTTTGGTTTTTATCCACATAAACCCAAAGTAAACTAGTCCTAGTTTTATATTCCAAAAGACAAATGAGATTTTTTCCAACAGAAGGAATATTGCTGTTTCACAATCACATCAATACATTTTTATCAAGAATTTCTCCCACTTTTTGGATGTGCTATGTCTCAAAAAGTCCAATGGATTTGAACAGAAACAAAACCAAGAAGTCCCAACCAAACTGAAAAAATAAAACACAAAAAATCCAAAAAACAGAGTGGGGGGAAAAAAAAGTCATAATGTTTATTTCCAGAGTATTCTGAGGCACTGAGTATTTTCTCAAAAATAAAGAAAAGAGCAACAGATCATGTTCAAGACACAGGTTTCTGAGTAGTGACGTAACAAGAGAAATGGGAGAGGTCAAGTGGCGAAAACAACAGCTAAAAAGGTTCTGAAAAACTACAGAAGCGGAAACCCAGTAGTGTAAGTAAACCCAGACAGGAAGTTACTAAAGAAAACAAAGATGCAGCTGTACTGTCCTAGACCAGTTTCACAAAGAAATGAGTAAATAAATTATATTATAAGATTATAACAGAGATCAATATTTTAGGGAAAATAACTGTAGGATTTCATGATAGTAACAGGACTACAAAGCTATTGAAAAATAGGAGATATGTACACAAAATAGGTGATAGAAATCAATATGTAATCAAAAAGCCAATTGGAAAATTATGTAAGATTGTGTGAAAATGGGAATAATACATTGTATATAACTGCTGGTTTCATTTTGGGTAATTTACTGCTGCATAAGATTGATATTGTGAAATAAAAATCTAAACATAATTATTTATGTGTGTTTGACAAAAGGATGTAAACAATTTATTCTCTATAGACTTAATATTTTAAATAGTTTACTGAAAAATACCATGGATAATTTATCACCCTACTGATTTATTATATTTCCTATTTCTCCTCTGACCATGAATGAAGGTTTAAAGGGGAAAATCAAAAAAATAAATGCTCTAAGAATTATTTGATGTGTAGTGCACATTTATTTGTTCTCAAAATCTCATTGTTTGCTCATTGTTTGCTTGACTACTTGTCTCTGTTACTCTATTGAAAATTTTACTCGATTACAATAAAAAAATGTTACTAGGTATTTTAGATAAATAGATTTAGGTAGATAATAAAAAATACTGAACTGTTAACTTTAGATGAGTTGAATGGCCCAACATCAGTCTGAATATGATAAAAAATACTCATCATCTCTTTCTACATGGGAGGAGTCAAAAATTAAAGACCATAAAAAATAAATTGACAAGCTGGAGACAGTCACTGACTTGTCTATCAATAACTGATGGATTGACAGAAACATGACAAAGTATGTAGACCTAAAATGGTAAAAACACATACAACTTATATATTTGCCTTATTTTTCCAAAGCAATTTGCTCTCCCAGTGCCCAATTCAAATGCAACCTAAAGTAAGGACCTTATTTTTTTAAAGTGTACATGAAGCCCCTAGGGATGTACTACAGAAAAACTATAATAGATTCAATTTTGAGCAGCTACAGATTAAACTTTCAGATAATTTGTTACATAGCATCCAGAAATTTTCCCAATACTATAGGATCTGATAGTATTAAAGAGAAACTATATTAATTACAGGTTTTATAACAAATTAAAAAAATAAAAGTTACAACTGTAGGGACAATTCAGGTTGAACCAAAGTGGATAAGGACACAATTGATCTGAAATATCTACTCTTCATTGAGACAAGAGTGAAGACATGTAACTTCAGACATTCTAGCTGTATTTGTTTTAAAATTATATTTCAAAGTCATTATTTGTCATCTATTAGGTAATGGCATTCAACAATCAGTCAGTAATAGTCTTAGAGAAGTATCAAATCTAGGTTTATGAAGTCCAGTGCCAAGGTTCATTTTGTACCCTATCAGATCATATTGCATGTGTTGCTCACTTGCACATTCCTGACCCAACAGAATGTTTTGACAGGATGAGTCAAAGCTGTGAGAAAGGACTGTTCCAGGTTCCTCACACTTATGTTTGAGGTCAAAAACCTCCACTGTGTAAAGCTATTTTCCAGCAAGATTGAATATATATGACGTGAAATTTCTCTCATGAAAACGTCATGTAGAACCATGCAGATAAATGTAAGTAGTGTTTATGTGAAGAAAATTAATTTTAGTAAGAAATAATATCTCTATATTTTTTCTAGGTTCAGAGACAACTGTAGATTTTGCGAGATTCACATGTTGTGACACCAAATTTTCAGAAGCCTTAAGAAAGTAGAAGACAAGGAAGTCCTGAAATAAATAAGTATTCAATATTGAAGTATGTTGACTGTTAAAATAATCATCTCCTCCAGTAGTTAGGGCATTGATACACAGGATTGTTCTTGCTCTTCATTAATTTGTACCCTAACTGTGACAAAATAAATAATTTGAATCTAAGGTCTTAGTTATTGCTGTATTCTTCTGTTAAAATGTTTATCTAGCAGCTAAAAGACTGAAGCTAGGTCCTTTTAGTAAAAATATAGTTTTGATACTTGTCAGGATTCTGGCAATTATGCCCAAATATAGAAGTTTATTAAGCACTTACTCTCAGGCTGATTGAACTTGTATAAACTTCATTTGTTCCTGTGTTCTTTAAGGTACAACAAGAATTAAATTGAGGGTGTTGGTAGTTAAGATCGACTATTAAACTTCAAAGGGTAAGGTGAAGAGTGAATAGTAATACTAATTTTACTGCCTGAAAAGTTTTTGGTGCCTAAATCCCTATTAAAATTCCAGTCATTAGATTTTAGGAAGAAACCTTGTATAATAGTATTAAAAATGCAGAAAAAAAAAAAATCACTAAAATCTTATGAGACTTAATTAGCAATTATTTGAAGATAAAAAATCCTGTATCATTGTTAATCAAAGAACAGCAGAAAGGTTTGAGTGGGAGGGATCTCGAAGGTCATCAAGTTCCAAACCCCTGCCCTAGACAGGGCCACCTTCCAGGTTGCCTAGGGACCTAACCAACTATCAGGGCTTCCACAGCTTCCCTGGGAACCTGTTCCAGTGCCTCACCATGCTCACAGTAATGAATTTCTTCCTAATTTCTAAACCAACCCTCTTTCAGTTTAAAGATCTTACCCCTTTGTCCTATCACTACATGCCCTTGTAAAAAGTCCCTCTTGCCTCTCTTGTAGCTTCCCCAGAAAGGAAGTGCAGATATTCCTTACAGAGAGTCAGTGGGATGGAGTTTAATAGGAGGCAAATAGTGAATCTTCAAAGTATGAACACTGAGACTAAGGCAGAAAGAAAGTTCCATGAAATAAGCATTAACATTCTTAATTGGAAGAACTTTTCTCTCAAGAAAAGAGAAGAATCAATTCCTGGGAATTAAAATCTACTTAAAGCTCCTGCTTGCACTCTGCGCTCTTTGTGGATGCTATTACATTAGCATTTCAGATGAAATCCTAGTGTATTTAAATAAAAATTTCCAGTCATACACACTTCCTTGCACCTTCAATTTCACACATCCTAGTGTCCTGTTAGAGTGAACCCCTTTCCTTACACATAAAAATAAACTGTAAGCAAGTTCCCATGGGTGTAACTTGTGAACTTTGATTAATTTGTAAGGAACCGAGCCAGAATTGGTGCAAATATTGTTTTTATAGGATGGGTCAGGGAGGGTAGGAAACCCTGTATGTGGCAGTATTGTTTTAAGTTATCTTTTCACTCATCTGGATTAGAGTCATAGGCCAATGAGAATCTTGCAGTAAATTTCACAGACTTGACTGAAGAGTTGATCTGCAAGAGGAACAGGGCAGCTGCTTAAACAGTGTTTGCTGCTAACAATGTTGAAATTTTGGACTCTACCCTGAGTCACTTAGTACTCTAATCAAAGCACTTTCAGAAAGCAGAGATGATCATAAAAGGGAAGGGGAAAACAAGGTTCAGTTTTTTTTCCTGGGTTATGTCCTAGGTTAAAAAAAAAAAAAGAAAAAGAAAAAAATACTACAATTCTCGAAAGCTTGAACTAAGATTTATATTCATACATTTATAATTCATTAGAACCAAAACTAAAATATTAAAAATTATACTTTGCATCCAGGCTTGCTTTATTATTTATTCTGTCATTTTGACAAGGGAATATGAAAAGTCTGATTTTGGTGTCTTACTATAAACATTTTTCACTATCTTTGTTCAGACATGAACTATACAAAGTATGGACCAATAGAGAAGCAGATCTAAAAAGTTTAGAAAAATTTTGGTGAAGTTTTTTCATCTTTATTTATTATAAGAAAACTACTTCTGACCAAATGCACATTACATTTATCTTCACTGATAAAAATAGAAACATTCTGTGGAGAAATGACAGTCTGTCTATATTTCTGCATGCACAGTAAAAAGGTATTTTTTTTATTGTGCTAAGACTAGCTTCCTTATACTAAAATAAATTGTTTTATTGCAAAGTTAGGGCACTGTGACCTGATGGGTTTTGTTATTTGTTTGTTTGTTTTAAGAACAGCAACCATAATGTATGTTTGTGACTTGTACTCCCTGGACTAGTCTTATGTACTCTGTTAATGTCCATTGTTTCCCTGGGGTTTTGCTCTTCCTTCTGTCAGTGTTTTATCACAGATTACTTCTGGTCCAGTAAATTTGCTGTCCGAAGATCCCAGTTCTTTCACAAGGAATGACCGCAGGCTCTGACAAGAACAATTTTATTGTGTGCAGATTATGGCACTAACACATTCAAGATCTAACAGGAAAAGAGTTACTATCCTTCTTCAGACTGATCAAAATAAGAGCACAACATTTTACATTATCTTCCTCACTTGAGTTTTTATTCTCCGTCTTTGTCATTTACATTACCATACCTACCACTTAGTAAGATCGTACTTCTGCCTTTCTTTCCATTTTTTCCTGATACTTTCCAGTACCAATTTTTTCTTACCACTCTCAACTTAGAAGAATCTATCTCTTCAGCAGGACTTGCAAAATTGCTACTTTGATTAATGATTAAGCAAAATATTTCTGTGGTTTTACACACTAAGGGTAGGTCTACAGTGATCTGAAGAGTATAGCTTAGGTAGGAATGAAAAAGTTCAGTAAAAGAAGATCATGGCTTATACAGAAAAAAATTTAAATTTCTATAAGGGTTGTATCTGCCCACCAGTGCCCATGTGCTTATTGGGGCTTGGACAGGTAAAAGGCATGGTTATCGAGGCTTGATTTTTTTACTTAGCTGTGTTGGGTGTCTATTTCTATTTCTCTATTTTCTATTTGTCAAGCATACTGAGAAGAAAATGTATGGTCAAAAAAATACATTTATTATTAAAATTCTATTTCACTACTTTCCTTTTGCATGACAGGAAGAGGATGAAACATACTTTTCATTTCAGATGATACTATTTAAATGTAAATGCTTCACTAACTATCTAAAGCGGGTTTTTTTTCTTAAAATATTCTCAAGCATTATTTCAAAAACACCCCCAAAAACACCAGAACCAAAAACAAAAACAAAAACAAACAAAAACCCAAACAAAAACCAAACAACACAAATAAAAACCTAAAACAAAACAAAAACAAACCCCAAAAAAACCCAAACCCAACTCCAAAACCATGATTCAGCAGAAATAGTAGTTCACAGTTTCAAGAACAACCTTTGAACTATTGTTAAACCTCTGTATGATGCTCAATATTGTGGAAAAATATATGGAAATCCTGTGTGCAGGAATTTTTTTTTAAAGTTTGAGGTTGATCAAACTTCTGATTGAAGAGAAATCTAAAGGAATGTTTGTCACTATTTGTTCTTTTTAGATAATAATGACTTTTACATGCAAAGGAAGAAGGGGTTTTTTGCTTACTATCTGTATGCCACAAATTCGAAATTTAAGTAGAAAATGGGAGACAACTGAGGGAACATTCTCAAAATAAAATTATATTGTGATCTTAACATGAGAAAGACAGAGATGAAGGGACATGCAAGACAGTGTGAAGTAAAAGTGAAGACTTAGAATACAAGGAATTTCAGAGAACAAAACCCCAAGATTGTAAAGATCCAAATAGCCAGTAATTTTGGTTGTTCTGCAATTTTTTTCCTTTTCATCTCCATTAAAAACAAAATTTTAAAATGGTTTAGTTTGTAATTGAGAAGCTATGTTTTTGGAAAAATCTTCTCAGTGGTAGCATAACATGAATAGATTTTCTTGAAAATTATTACACTAAGGGTCTTGCCTTCCCATACAGACAATTCCCATCTATGCAGTTTCGTCCATGTCTTCAGAGATACTTCACTTGTGAAAAGTGAATCAGATTAAATCTTTAAAGCTTCTTTATCTTCACTGGAATACTGAACCAGGGCTACCAATGCCTTACATTAAGAATAAAGCTACAGGAGACCAATTTGAGAGGTCCTATTATTAGAAAGTGATAAAAAAATGCTTTGCATTCTGTTGTAGAACAGTGTTTGCTGTTCAAGTAATGAAAACACTTTCAGTAATATTTCAGTAGTATTATCAAATACTACCAAGAATGTGTTATGTAGCACTCAAAGAGTAAGCTGTTCTATGAACATGAATTCTTCTTCAATACCAAACTGTATTGAACTAGTTTAATTTCAGTACAAGAAAACCAGAATCTGAATTTTCATTAGATAAACTAGGAGTGCCAAGAAAGTCATATGTATTTCCTATGAAAGATTACTGTCAAAATGTTGTAGACTAAGTATTAATTTTCATTCTTTAATGAGTTTTAGTAGAAGAAAAACTCACTCTATGTCAATATAAATATACATGTAGAAAAATCATGGATACTGATGGTAATCTCACCCAGCACAAGATTAGTTTCTTGGTGCTCCATACAATATTTTTTTCTTGATGTTTGAGGTAGAATACAAAAAGCCTAATTCTAGTTGGCCATCACCGTAAGAAATTTTTCCACTGGGTTCAGCCCTTTGATTTAACTATAGTTTATTTTGGAAGCAAATAGAACACTCCACATTTTGATTCCCTTCAATATCACAGAAAAGCAGACTTTGAGAAAGACCTCCAGGTTTTACTGGNACGGCTGGAATTCACAGAGGAAACAGAAGAACAAGCACATTAAAAACAGATGAAGAGCAAAAGTTATCAGTATCACTATTTACTGGTGCCAAGGTATGGTTGACATATTGAAAAGAACCCTATCAAACTTGAAATCTGGTAGTAGTCTTACCCTAATGATACCAATTACCTTAAAAGGTGAGAAAAATAGCAGAAAAAATACAGGTCTGTTAGTATTTTGATGGTTTGAAATTGCATACTCATTTCAGACATGCACTTTAGTTCAAAAGAGCATAGTAACAATGTTTTTGTTCCAAAATCTGGATATGGAGTGCTCCTGAGGACATATGTGAGGCTAATAATACGTGAACACATGAAAGAGATGCAGTATTTTTGCCTTAATAAGTACATTAT